TGCTTCGATGCTGGCGTCGCAGAAACCGTGAGCTACTAACTCTGCTGCAGGTATTGACACGAGACGAGGAAATTTAAGAAACTCTGATTTCTCAAAACTGTAGCAAAGATCATGCCAAGCTTTTGCCAGTGATGATGGCAAGCTCTCGTCCCACTCAAGCTTCTCCTTCCAGATCTGCTGCATAAAGATTTTAGCCTTGGCAATTACCGGCCCTATGAGTCCAAGCGGGTCATACAAGCGAGCTATGGTCGATAGTATTGACCTTTTGGATGGTTTAGATCTCTGCTGAATGGACGAAAACGAAAACAACAATCGATCCGACGCTGAGTCCCAAGCGAGTCCAAGAGTTTTGGTGATGTCGCTACCATCATCAAACTTTAGGGAATATTCTCTGTCCTCTACGGGTATCCCTTTCAGTACAGCAGAATTGTTTGAGCACCACTTTCGCAACTTGAAGCCCCCACTTGCCAAGATTCCAGCCGTCTGATTAAGAAGTTCCTTTGCTTCTTGAATTGAATCACCCCTTGAAATGAGGTCATCAACATAGAAGTCACGCCGCAAAATCCGAGATCCAATTGAAAAATTAGTTTCCTCATCCATAGACAGCTGATGCATAGCACGGATAGAGAGGAATGAAGCTGGCTTTGTTCCGTATGTAACTGTATCCAGCTTAAAAATCTTTATATCCTGTTCTGGCGAGTCTCGCCACAGAATGCATTGGCGATACATTTTTCCAATATCTCTTGTTAGGGCGATCGGGAAATTACGAAAACGAAGAAGGATATGAAACAGCGAGCTTTAAATAACAGGTGGAGCCATCAATAGTTCATTTAATGAATGACCTGACGAGGTAGCTGCTGAGCCGTCGAAAACAACTCGCAATTTTGTCGTTGAACTGTCTTCTTTAAAGACACAGTGATGAGGAAGAAAGTATTGACAAAGTCCTATAGACTCTGGAGCAACAGGCGACATATGACCAAGATCCAAATATTTCTTTAGAAAGTTTGAATATTGAATCTTCAGATCTGGATGATTTTGTAGTTTGCGTTCCAGGGTCAGGAACCGACGAAAGGCTTGGAGATGTGGAGGTAGATGACGATGACTTAGCGAAAGAGGCATGGGCTATCGGCGATGAATTTGCAGGCTCAGTCAGCTGACCAGACGGAGATACGGAATTGTTTAAATGCAGCAGAGAATGAAGTTTAGCCCCGCAGGTCCGACAGCAACCAGAGCTGCATGATGGCAATTGATGACCTTTCCTTAGGCAATTTAAGCACAGTGCAACTCGTTTTGCCTCCCTAATTCAAATTTTCAAACCGGGCACAATTATGGATATAATGACCAGGGCTGTCACAAAAGACGCAGACAGGGGCGTCGTGGCTAATGGCGATAAATGACGATCTACGTGTGTTAATTGCTCTAGTTTTTCCCACCTGATGGCTAGGGGCATAGGTTGCCATAGCAAAATTTACGGTTTCCATTGTTCGGCATCTCTGCTCCAGAAACGTAGCTATATGCTCCCACGATGATATTAAATTAACGAACGACGAATCCTCTAGCCCTTCTTCCCATTTGGCTTGTGATATTGGGTCCAGCTTTTGTAAAATAATCTGCACAATGATGCATCCAGCGATTTGTTCAGAGTTGCCCATGCTCCTTAACGCGCGAAAATGTGCGTTGAATTGGTCGGATAACTCCCTTAGCGACACGGCCGATCCACCTGCCACCCTCTTAAGCCCCAATATCTCAAGTATGTGTGCCTGAAAAACCAAACGTCTATTATTAAACCTTTTCTCCAATAAATTAAGTGTTATGGCATAATTATCGTTTGTTATTTCCAATGATCGAATCGCGTCCAGCGCTGTATCCTTCAGGTACGATCGATGATGCTGCAGCTTTTCGATATCTGCTAGATCAGGATGATTTTCTATGACGGTTGTGAACATAGAATAAAAGTCGGTCCATTCTGTGTAGCCACCACTGAACGTAGGCAACTTTATTGAGGGTAGTGTTGGCGGTGCCTTAGCTCTAACTGTCTGCGAGGGCAGCACAGATTGATCGCGAAATGTTGAGCAGGGCAATATTGAGACACCTTTCGTAATTTCACTCCGAACCGAAATTTCCATAGAAACTGCTAACTCGTGGAAGTCCTCACGCAATTGGTTACCGATTTCATCAAAGTCTAGTTCTTCGAGGCTAGTGTGTGTAATATCAAATGAGGTCTGAAGCCGCTCGATTTGCTTCAGCCTAACACTAACATTTCGAAGTGTTTACAAACTGTCATAAATTGAAATGGCTTTGCGCTTCAGAAAGGTCACCCTGTTTGTAGAGGGCACTGCACTAGAGGCATTATTTTCGGTTGCCATTAGAAGCGCGATAGAAAGCTCGTGCGAAACTAGCTGAGTAATTAACAACGGTGATCGCTAGTACATGCAAACCATTCAAAAAACAATAGTTGTACAATAAGAACTTCGGCGAACGCAAGTGTCAAGCTATGTAATGAAGCAACGGCAATAGCTTTTACATAAGTACCGCACGAATGAGCAGAGACTTTAAGCGGCCGAGAGAGTAGGCAAAGCGACGGCGATAAGTATGTATGTATATAAAGTGCACAAAACGAAATTCCATAAAAATCACGTCGGGGTCACCAAATGTTGCGCTATTGAGCTTTTTCAATAGCTTTCACAAATAGAAATAATTAACTATTTATTTTTTGTGTTCAAAATTGTTTTATATTTCTTAAAGTTACGAGAAGCAGGCAGACCCGAATTGGTCTGTGCTTATTATTTAAGAACAATAGTTTATATATAGGCAAGCGAACCCGAATTAGTACGTGCCAATTTTAGCGTAGAGACAATTATTAGTTATAATTTTGAGTAATGCAAGTGGCCGATGCGTACCAAATGCATGAAGCGAACTGACTTAACTAAGCTCGATGCGCAGCATCGAGGCCTTTGCATAAGTAAAGCTAGGGCAATCAAACGATCGTTACAGCGAAGAGCGGCAGCTTTATGTAAATGAATTCTTAAGAGCGAGATTTAGGCACTTGCTTTGCAGAGCGAGTATTATAAGATAAAATTAAGATGCTGCTCTTATCAGTTGCGACGTCGCTCCAGTTGTTTTGGCTGCGTAACCAGACAATGACATTTAATCGTACTACACCTGATCTTGTCAGTTATACAATCGACAATATCCCTTTGCAACGTATACTAACAGAATCTATTCGTTATTTTTAATTCTAAACTCTGTTTCAATCTTCACATAGATACCATTGTTAATGAGGCAAAATGTGTACTTGGATTCATTAAACGATGGTCTAAAGATTTTACCGATCCTTTTATAACAAAACTTCTGTACATCTTTCTTGTACGCCCTATCCTTGAATACTGCTCTTGCATCTGGTCTCCACAGTATAACAACAGCCAGGATCGTATTGAATCTGTTCAGAAGCAATTTCTGCTGTTTGCCTTACACGGTTTAAATTGAGACCCTAATCTTCGGTTGCCATCCTACTCCAGCAGACTGCTTATTTTCAACCTTCCGTCGTTAACCAACCGTAGGACAATTCTCGGTGTCGTCCTTCTACATAAGTTGATTATTGGCGACATAGATTCTCCTTTTCTGCTAGGGCGTCTTCAATTCTCTGTTCCGGCTAGACCAACCAGAAATTATCGCCCCTTATTCCTATCTAAGTGCACAACAGACTACGCTATGCACAATCCTTTTCCATGCTATGTAAAAATTATAATAGCTCGCATCACGTTTTCTCTACCGAACTGTCTCTACCCCTAATAAAATCGTTGCTTTCAGGATACCTTCGGGAAGTCGCTGACCATTCCCAGCTATGAGCAGGGGCATAGCTTGCCGGACAGGCTGAAAAATTTTCCCCCACCGGGTCGGTGATTTCCCATTACTTTTCTCTTTGTCCTATCTACTTAACACTCTTTATCTAACTTACATTGCTTTACTTTATTAACAATCTTCTTACTTTCTTTTTTCCTATTTATTTATTCTTTATTAATAAAGCATTTTAAGATTATTTTTAACTTTTTTCCTACTTACAACCTTCTGCTTAGATGTAGGCTCTAATAGCGTCACTGACAAAATTAGCTGTGAAAAGGGGCACAGCTGGCCGCACTGGCAAATAAAACACCCCCATCAGTCGGTGATGCTATTTAAAAAATTGTATTCTTTAACTAGGCTTTTAGCATATAATTCTATTGTATAATCTATTGAGTAATAAGGAAGACACTTGTTTTGTCGACCATTAATAAATTAATAAATAAATAAGCGATGGCCATTTGACAAAAAGAACAACACTATAACAAAAGACATACATTAGAAATGTTACATTAGTCTCATTAGTCGGTGCTTACATTGTTTCGTCTCAACTCAATAAAAAGACAAACTTTTTGTCTTCAAATCGTATCGAGACACAAAAGCCTAGAGCCATCAGGCATTGCGCAAAAAGTAGTGGTCTGCCTCCCATAAATTGATTTTAAAATAAAATTACTGTATTTATATTTAAGCAGGGAAAGCATTAGTCGAACGCACTCAAGACAAATGCACCAAAACTTAATAGACTGCTAGGTGTTACCAGTTGTAGTGCTTATTACACAAATATTTATTTTTCGTATTATTTGAATAATTTTGTGATTATTTACCATCCCAATCTCGCTGATCTCAATTTTGAGTTAATTCAGCTTTATTGATGATATATATATAACTTCGTCAATTATATAAGAAATTTGTACTTTTTTTGTGACAGCATGGGTTCATTTAAAGACAATTGTTTGTAGAGTTGGCTTAATTAAAAAATTGTGGTATTTATAAGGGTTTTTTATAATGTGGTAGTAGAGGTTTCCGAAGATAATCAGATTTTTTATAGGATGCGATCATTTGTGTAATTATAAAAATTGAGGAAACCCCTAGTTTATAAAAAAAAAAAAAAAAAAATCATTCTAGTCAGTATAGTTAAACGCTAATTGAAACAACTGAAGTGTTTTATCACAAAAGGGCATTCCGAGTTGATAGTTTATTTATAAATTATCACAACTGTTAATTAAACACATTTAAATTATATAGTTGTGTGGGACACCAAAATGGGATCACATTGAATAAAATAATCATGCTTAGCAGTTTTCTTTCAAGACTTAAGAAATTTGATGAATTGAAGTGAACATTTTTTGATCCCGCCAAGTTGTTGGCCGGAATTTCAGTGCAGCCTTCCTTATACACTTCCTGCACTAAGTGCTCCTGCTCCCACTGCTTATTGCGAAATACCTGTAAGAGAAAAAGAACGGAAGAGGTAAAACACGTTTGAAATAAATTTATAGATTGACCATTATAAGTGACTGATCGGACAGTAAACCAATTACTGACATAACTTAAAATTTAAGGTTCCTAGCTAGTACCACTAACCATACATATGTTGTATGGTTAGTGCCCTTGCGGTTTGGGCTGTGCGTTGATAACAAATCAGTAGTAGTTGAGTAATGACAAACAGAATGTTGATTTTCCGTTTTTATTTATTTATTTATTATTATTTTAGCTTGATTTAAAGCATTGTCCATCTTATATGGATTTTATTTTTAAAAAACAAACCTGAGTAGTGTTCTTCTGCTGTGCAAAACCTCTTGTTACGGTTTCTTGCATCTGTCCATTTTGAAGATGTAAGTTAGAGATCGTTTTTAAACACATCGTAGAATATGGACACTGGACCATATAAATTGAGGACTCCTGGAATTTGGAGCACAAGGGTGTCATAACTGTTGCATTGTCAACAAAATACTTCTCTACAGTTACTGAACATCTGTAGCATTGTAAGACGGATCGGTCTGTACACTTCCCTGAAACCGAATTAATGTTTAATTTGTTATTATTATTTGTAGGTTGATATAAATTGTCTCAAATTTTTAATTTCGTAATTTCTTACAACTTTTATGCCTTGGGGAAACAAAAATGCTCAATTACAATTTCAAAACTGCCCCTGCTTATGCACATTTATAAATGTAAAAAAAAGTAATCTAATGCGCAAACATTACTTATACAATGCAACCATTTTAAAACAAAAAACATTTGTCATTTAGCACGCCCAAGGCTTGTTTGAAACATATGGTGAAAATATCTTGGAAATTAGAATAAATTGTCAAAAAAAAAAAACTAATTTTTCGACCGATTTTTTGCGCTCAATAATATTTGGTTTATATATTGCTTAATTTATTATATTCAAAAACAACCTAACATTCGATCACTGGAAGATTTTGCCTATATACATGCATGAGAAGCATAATTAAACTAATAACTGCCGAGATTGGTAAAGATATATTGACAAGCCAATAATTTTTTCAAAAACAAGTAAGAGGTTCTAGTCGGGAGCTCCCGACTAGGGTATACCCTGAACCCTCTTCTTCCAACACCAAATGCATATATATATTCTATTTTAGAAGCTACTTATATGTCAAGTTTGGTGACTCTAGCTCTTATTATTTACAAAAATTGCCCAAAAAACAGGATATCGATATCGATTTTTATCGGTTGCTTGGAAACGGAGTAAGTTATCGATTATCGGAAACAAACTCGATCTGCGCGGGAACTAGGAGCATCTAAATCTATAATTTTAAGTCTCTTATAGGTTCTGAGATTCTTGCGTTCATACATACGGACGGACGGACGGACGGTCGGACAGACAGACGGACATGGCTAGATCGACTCGGCTATTGATGCTGATGGAGAATATATATACTTTATGGGGTCGGAGATGCTTCCTTCTGCCTGTTATATACATTTGGATTTCGCACAAATACAATATACCCTTATACCTATTTTTAATAGGTTCAGGGTATAATAATATTAAGATCGCATCACTATATCATAGAGCTGCCATAGGAACGATCGGTCGAAAATTAAGCTGTTGTATGGAAAACTTTTTTGTCATTCAAGATCTTTTAATTAAACACGGCATTTAAAGATTTCACTATGCTCCCTTCATTTTCACAAAATATTATTTACATCGGACTACTATATCATATGCCTGCCATAGGAACGATCGGGCGAAAACCAGTTTTTTGATTAAAATCCTTTTTTGTTTATCAAAATATATCTTGACCAAGCTAAGCAATAACTATTTGCCCTCTGCTTCTTAGATGCGGGCAAAACCCTATAAGCAAGGGTATTAGATGTTCAGAATGCCGAAGATAGCCTATCTCTGTCGTTTGGTTTAGGTTTTGTGAAATAGACGGAAAAACACAAGAACAATAGAAAAACAGAGACCAAAATGATGAAATAAAGTTTATCGGCAAAGGAATATAAATTTCCTTCATAAAAGAAAAAGACATAAGTGAAATAAATACACCGACGGAACGAAAATTGCCCACCAAGTTTTAATCTCAGTATGCCAAAACGTTGGAGCCGCTATCCCATACGACTTTGGTGGACGGCCGCGTCAGAAATCGGAACCCGACCTGAGAAGCTTACAACTAGAGTTGTGTCCCTTAGTTCAGATAAAGTTCGATTGACCGGGTCGTTAAAATGAACTACGGAACTTATTCATTGATGAGTGAACTAAATCGGTCATTTAGTTCGCCCGTTCAGCTATTCAGTCGGTCATGAACGATTTATTCCGTACTCGTTCAGTTGGTCATTAACGATACTCCCTTAATACTCCCTTTTTTTAGTACAAAACGAGTATCTTCCTCATTATTCAAAAGATTGTACAATAGAATTATATGCTACAAGCCTAAAAGCATCACCGACCGATGGAGGTGTTTTATTTGCCATTCCGGCCAGCTGTGCCCCTTTTCACAGCTAATTTTGTCAGTGACGCTATTAGAGCCTACATCTAAGCAGAAGGTTGTAAGTAGGAAAAAAGTGATCTCAAGTAAAATTAAAAATAATCTTAATTTGCTATATTAATAAAGAATAAATAAATAGGAAAAAAGAAAGTAAGAAGATTGTTAATAAAGTAAAGCAATGTAAGTTAGATAAAGAGTGTTAAGTAGATAGGACAAAGAGAAAAGTAATGGGAAATCACCGACCCGGTGGGGGAAAATTTTTCAGCCTGTCCGGCAAGCTATGCCCCTGCTCATAGCTGGGAATGGTCAGCGACTTCCCGAAGGTATTCAGAAAGCAACGATTTTATTTGGGGTAGAGACAGTTTGGTAGAGAAAACGTGATACAAACTATTATAATTTTTACATAGCACGCGAAATGGATTGTGCATAGCGTAATCTGTTGTACACGTAGATAGTAATAAGGGGCTATAATTTCTGGTTGGTCTAGCCGGAACAGAGAATTGAAGACGCCCTAGCAGAAAAGGAGAATCTATGTCGCCAATAATCAACTTATGTAGAAGGAAAACACCGAGAATTTTCCTACGGTTGGTTAACGACGGAATGTTGAGAAGAAGCAGTCTGCTGGAGTAGGACGGCAACCGTAGATTAGGGTCCCAATTTAAACCTCGTAAGGCAAACAGCAGAAATTGCTTCTGAACAGATTCAATACGATCCTGGCTGTTGTTATACTGTGGAGACCAGATGCAAGAGCAGTATTCAAGGATAGGGCGAACAAGAGAGATGTACAGAAGTTTTCTTATAAAAGGATCGTTAAAATCTTTAGACCATCGTTTAATGAATCCAAGTACACCTTTTGCCTCATTAACAATGGTATCTATGTGAAGATTGAAACAGAGTTTAGAATCAAAAATAACGCCTAGATCCTTAACTGTTAGTATACGTTGCAAAGGGATATTGTCGATTGTATAACAGACAAGATAAGGTGTAGTACGATTAAATGTCATAAACATACACTTTGAACAATTTAGATGCAATTGATTAGCCGAACACCAAAGTTGCATAGCGTTCACATCGTCTTGTAGACGAGAATGATGTAGGGGGTTAGTGTATGATAGAAAAAGTTTGACATCGCCCGCATACATGAGTACAGGGGCATGTGATATAACAGAGGGAAGATCATTTATAAAAAGAGTGAAGAGTAAAGGTCCAAGATGACTACCTTGAGGAACACCAGAAGTAACGTGAACCCTTTTAGAGGTAGTCAACCTCAGTATTACTCTTTGGGTCCTACCTTTTAAATAAGAATTAATCCAAAGTAAAAGGGACAGAGGGAAACCAATAGGTCAAGTTTAAAAAGTAAAATGCCATGGTGCACAGAGTCAAACGCCTTACTGAAGTCAGTGTAAATGCCATCAGTTTGCATTTTCGAAAGGAAATCATCATTTACCAAGGAAGTAAACTCAAGCAGATTGGTCGTAGTTGACCGATTCTTTACGAATCCATGTTGAACAGGGGAAACAACTGATTTGCAGAAATGCTGCAAATTCGAAGTGATTATTTTTTCAAATAATTTAGGAATAGCGGACAGTTTTGCAAAGCCCCTGTAATTTTGTATATCAGACTTCCCACCTTTCTTGTGAAGCGGAATGATATAAGATTCTTTCCAAAGAGATGGAAAGACAGAAGTTTCAAGGGATAGATTAAAAAGCTTTAGCAATGGATAAAAAAGGGAAGAACTACACTCCTTGAGTAGACAACTAGGAATATTGTCCGGCCCAGGAGAGTAAGAAGATTTTAAAGAGTTTATAGCTAATAGGAGAGAGGAGTATGAAATAATGGGGGGAGGTATAGAACTAGCGGAAGAAATAGTATAAGGGTAAGAATTAGTATTAGAACAGACTGAAGAGTAAGTTGATTGGAAAAAATTAGCAAAGAGGTTAGCAGAATCAGTGTCATTGCTAGCTTTATCCATCCCAAGAGAGAAAGAATATGGCAAACTTGAAGATTTACGCTTCAAGCTTACAAAGTTATAAAACTGTCTCGGATTTCGGGCGAATTGCCTTTTACAACGAGTTAGATAATTCTCATAGCATTGAGAATTAAGAAGAAAGAAGTTCGACTTGGCTATGGAATATTTAGCCAAGTCTGTACACCAACCAGACTTTTTAAACTTTTTAAAATATTTGGATTTTACATTTTTTAGATGTGATAATCTGGGAGTAAACCAGGGTAGTTTTGAAAAAGTAGTCGAAGGAATTGACTTAGGAATACACACATCTAAGAGGGAGTTTAGGGTGATATAAAAAAAATTATTGGCTGTATTCATATCAACTGAATCATATGAGAAAGACTAATCGGTGGAATAAATAAGCTGATTCAGCAAAGAATAATTTCCTTTGCGAAAGCAATAGCGGGGCTTATTGGCTGATGAGCACGAAATGAAAGGATTACAATTTAGCATTGCAATCTCTAAAGTTGGATGACATCCTCAGGATGAGATAAAGAAGGGGACCTAGAAACATTAGAAATAAGGTAGTCGTTAACAAATACAAGGTCAAGTGTTCAATTCATATGATTAGAAATTGAATTGATTTGAAACAACGAAAGATCAAGCATGCAGTCTACAAAATCGTGCTGTGCTGAGGGTACTAGATATTTTCAGCAGTGAATAATGACCAAGAGACGTTCGGCAAATTAAAATCACCCAACACCATTAATAGGTCATTATCACGCACGTGTGAAGAAACTTCTTTAATACAAGTAATATGATTCATATAAACTTGAATATCAGAAGAAGGTGGGACATAAGAGCATTTTACATAGATATTTCGTGTAGGAAAAGACACCTTAACTGAGACAATCTCAGCGTCAGTAGGCGTACTAAAAGAGAATAGTTCAGACTGGAGAGTGGCTTTAACGGCAATTAACACCCCACCGCCTCGAGTCGGCCGATCATTTCTAAACAAAATAAAGTTATTCAGTAAAATCTCAAAATCTGATATGGTTGAGTTTAACCATGTTTCTGAAAATGCTATTATATCCGAATCGAAGGAAGTGCTGGCCATGAAAAGATTTTTAAGCTTTGAAATGAGACCTCTGACATTCTGATAATTAATAAAGATTTGGTCAGAAGATGAAGCTAGTTTTTTGTGGCAGAAATGGTACCCTGTATTGAAGGGACTGGAAGGGTGACAGGCTGGTTACGCTTTTTAGGCTTGAACTCATGAACAATCATGTGTGGTGGCCAAAATTTGGGATCACAAATGATTGGGAACATATCATGTGAAACATTTATTTTGAATGATGATATTTC